AAAACGAATGAATCATAATATTTTGAATACGAATAACGTTTGATGTTATCGTTTCCCGTGTCGCGATTTATTGCCGTAATGTTATGGCCGTAATATTATTGCGATTTATATTTCCGTAATATTATGGCCATAATATTATGATTTTAAACTCTCGTAACAATATTATATACACGATATAATATTATGATTTTAAACAACTCGTAACAATATTATATGCGGTATAAAAATTTTAAAGAAATTAACAAATATTAGATATAAAAATATCGCATCAAGGGATTATTAAAAAATAAAAAATGAGAATAATTAACACGAAATTAAATAAAAAATAATCGTATACCTATTCGTTAAATCGGTGTATAATATTAACATATATCGTGAAATCAATAAACCAAAGATTCTCCATTTTTCCTCGCCAAACCTCATCAAAATCGTATTTTCTCGATCGAAGCAATCTTATCAACACATATATACACACACACACAGTATAAAATAATACTCACCCTAGGACACGGCTCATTACTCACCGCTATCGCGGCCGAGAGTCGTTACGAGAGAGTACGCGTTCGTCGTAATCGATTAAGGCTCATTACGCTCGTCCTCTACCTCCTCCTCCTCCTCCTTCTCCCTCTCCTTCCACTTCGATCCCCTCTTCGATCGTTAATTCTCTTAATTCTCTTAGTTAATTCTCAAGAGGGGAAGAAAGAGAGGGAGGAAAGAATGAATAAAATACCAAAGATGAGAGAAAAAAAAAGAAAAAAAAGAAAAATAGACGAGATGTATACTCAAGCTCGCGTATATAGTTCTTATTCAAGCCGCGTAGAACGTGAGTGAGTGGTCGATCAATGGCTCCTCGTGTCCGATGGACTTCCAGGTCCCCGGAGAGCTGTCGACATCGAAGCACCGGTGCGCTACGTTTCCCCGTTTCTCGTATTTTATACAACCGTCGTCTCTCCTTTCGCAGATCTTCCTCTATGAACACGAAAGAGCACACGGCCACGACCGGAAAATGGTATCTCGATCTCGCTCGATCGCCTTCTTGCGCATCCCAAACCGCTTCCGGTATCGTCTCGAGAATGCACACAGCCCTCCGTGCTTTTTTGTTTCGTGCAAATGAACCTATCAACGTCGATGCTAGTTCTCCTTAATCGATCCAGCCACGATGCGTGGAATATCGATCGACGCGATTGACTGGTAATCATCGAGTTTCCTATTTGAAGATGTTGGTCTCGTTTCGAGAATCATTTTTTAACGAAGTTTATCTTCAAGGAACCGTTGTGTTTGTAATAGATTTTTGATTCGTGTAAATTAATCGAAGAATCTTTTTAAATCAAATAATAGTAGGTTCAATTTCATTTTCAAACACTTTTATCTTACTATCTCTTTTATATTATTATAAATTCATTCTTCGACAATATGTCTCGTAACTTATAAAACGAAGTAATTCCAAGTAACTTTTATTAAATCGTTTCCCTTAATATTCAAATCTCTCTTCGTAATATCAAATATTGAAACAAGATTTCCGCACAGAATCTTAATCCTCAGCCATCAATTCATCAATCCACATATCAATTACTCACCTCCAAGTGAAATCCAAGATCTCTAAATCTTCATCTCAATGAGTTATACGATTCTTTCGGCAGAGGCTCAATCTTCTCCTCTCTCGATCTTCGAGATCGCTCCAGTTTCTCCCGCAGCGCGAGTCGAACGGGCGAACGTCGATCTCCGGATAGTTGACCAGCAACCAGGAGGCTCGTCGTCGATATTTCACTCGGCAAGAGCCCGGTAAAATCGTCCCCCGTGCACCCAATATTGGCCAACCTCTCTCATGCATAGAGTCATGACGGATCTAAGCGATTGTTTATTGCGGCTGCAACCGGTCGTCAGTGGATTGACGCACCGTATCCACACGGTTCCGTGGACATTACGCTGACGTGAGACATTATCCGAGTGTGGAGCTTGGGATCCCCTTGGAGCGCGGGATGATCTGGAGAAAGCATGGAGAGTTTTGAGGAGGAAGACAGATTGGTTGATTTCAGATGATTTAAGATATACCTCGAGGGCAGTTTGAATGATGGATATTGAGTTGGATGATGATAATTTTGAATAAATAGAATAACAGATTAAATTATGGCGAATATCTAGATTGTTTGAAGTTATTATTCTGATAATATCTTTTCTATCGTGTAGGGGTAGAAGAAAGTCTGGAAACAATTTGGAATGATTATTAATATTTTTATTGTATCGTTAAGTTGAATTAATTAAAAATTAGGGAAGGAAATGGGGAAGTAAAAGGATGAAATTGTTGACATCGTTCAGGAATCGAAACTTTTCACAATCGATCTCTCTATTCTTTACATTTCAAACGTATCTAATAAGAAACATCGCCAAAGAAGAAATCCCCAAGAGAAATCTTTCAAACAAGAAACTAATCAATCTCAGGTAAAATTCCACATCTAAACTCCTCGATATATCCGTCGCCCTCTTTCTTCTCGCCGATACGTGTATTTATAACAGAACAAAACCGATCTCGAACATACTTGGGTAATATTCCATTTGGTGAGCTGGACAGAGACTAAACTAGATATAACTAACTATCGAATATATATATATATATA